CTGTCCTGGAATGCCCTTGTGCTGTATGATCAGAGTAGGTTGGTAAACCTTACTTCACCCTACCAGTGTACACTAGACTGGGGTGCTCCGATTATCCACTGCTCAACCATCGGCCATTGCCTGTCAACGAGCAACCAAGTAATCTCGACTACTTACATTGACTTTCTTCCATGCAGACAACTATGGACTGTTGAACACCAGCATTCTGCGCAAAATCAAGTTCAGATTCTTTTTCAGAATGACAGCACAAGTCTGCTGACATTCTTGCTCCTTTTCGTCATCACCTCGCCTCTCCCTTCATTACCAGATTATGCTAGCAATTTCATCAAGGATTACATCTGTTATTTCATGGTCTTGTCCTACCCCAATCCCGAGACCTCATGCTGGACATCAACAGCCTTGGGAGGACCTAGCCTCCCTTCTCACCTCCATAGATAGGAGTTATGCACTGTTTCAAATTAGGTCTACCTCCCGCTGCTGGGCCTTTCTGGACTTGTTCAGATTTTTTCATTCACTTGTGTGCAGAGTTGTCTGACTGAACAGCCAATACGGACGGTCTGTCCAGGCCCGTAGCTGTAACCATAAGGTAAGTAAAATCACCTGCAAGAATCTTACTCACTCCGCTTACTGGAGTCTCAGCTGTGCCACTCTTGCTGCCGTGTTTTGCAGATTTGCAATTAATTTAGCCTTCCAAGCCTTTGCCGCGTACAAGGAATGAGGAAACTGTAACTACCCAGAAAACTGCCGAAGGAGCCATGTGCTGCCATATCCTCGCAGATCTGCTATCTTATAACAACTCCCTAACTCTCCATACTCGCTCTCATTCGTCATGGAGCGCACAATCCATAATCAGAAAAGAAGAGTAGAACAAGAATGATAAGAAAGGTCCAATTGGTCTGTAATGCCACTTGGTCTGGAAAATACGTATATACATATGTATATCGTCAAACAGAGCTCCCCGGTGAACCGTAGGCAGAGAGGGAGAAGAGGACAACAAACGAGGGGCTGTGACAAAGAAGACAGCCATCCACGGATTTTTTTTCAAATCTGAGTTGGGGGCTGTACGTTTGGGGGTGTTGGGGGGGTGTATGGGGGTATTGGGGGCCGCTATGGGGGTGTTTGTGGTGTTATAACTTATTAGGGGTTCTGGACCCCCCCCCTTTTTCTTTTTAGGGGGGGGTGCCAACGACCCCCGAGCGGTAGGTGCCGACCAGGCAAGGGCTGCCGACCGTCGGGGAGCGCACTTTGTGAAACAAAGGATAAAAAAGTAAAAAGCGCACTTTGTGAAACAAAGGATAAAAAAGTAAAAACAAAAACAAAAACAAGGGCATATACAAACCATTCAATTTCTCATTCTTCTTTTAACTCCCCCTACACTGTGCCTCTCACGTACAAGGCTCGCCACGTTGATGAAGTTGAGTGCGGAAGACAACATTAGGGAAGAAAGGAAAGTTTAGGACAGAGGGAGGAGAAAATCTACAGTTGAAGGTAGAGGGTTTAGGGTTTGGTCAGAATTAGGGTAAATACGGTTCAGAATAGCAGACTTATCAGGTGCCTCATATGGGGGATTTACAGTTAACACAAAATTGTCAGCTTTGTCAGTTTCTAGGACCTTTCTCACTAGTCATGCTTTATACGACAGGTTTTCACAGTAGACCTGAGAGGAAAGGATGAAGCAGGGCAAGCTGACAGTTAATCCTCCACGATGTTGGAGCAATCAATGCTGGTCAGGGGTCCTTCGGCCGGCCGGAAGGAAGCGTGGGTGAGTACTTATGATGTAACCTTTTTTCTGACTTGCCGGTGGAATAGGAACCGGACTGATGCTCCCCAGAATGGAAATGGAGCCAGGACCATAAGGGCCTGTTTTTTTGTAAAAAAAAAAAAAAAAAAAAAAAAAAAAAAAAAAAAAAAAAGAGCACACTGCCACACTTTGCAAAACAAAGGATAAAAAGCAAAAAACAAGGGCACATTGAAACCATTCAATTTCTCATTCTCCTTTTAACTCCCCCTATACCGTGCCTCTCACATACAAGGCTCGCCACGTTGATGAAGTTGAGCACGGGCTGCCCCCATCCCCATGTGCCATAACGGCCCACTTGTACGCTGTGAGAAAGAGGCAGAGTGAAGAGGGAGGGGATAAACAGAGGGAAGAGAGATGGAGAGAAGACAAACAAAGAATGATGAAGTAAAGGAGAGTATGGAGTGTGGAGTGAAGATGAAGGCAAAAGAGGATAAGAAAAGGCTCAAGAATGAGTCTGTCCTTGATGACATAGAGGACATACATTGTACGGATGAGGTGGATGAACACATCGAAGACCTAGCTGAGCATTCTCAGTACAACAATTGCCACGACGGCTGGCATTGAGCATGCCCACCATACACCCCCGACAAATGGCGTGTCGATTGCAGGCCGAAATGAAGGAAGAAAGGTCACCACAACAGACCATGCATTCAGTATAGCGCCCATGGCCAAAATAGACAAATAGTGTCCAGATGCGGAGGGTGCCTGCAGTCAGGAACGGAGGGACAGTCCTCTGCACACATTGATGCAGAAACCATGTCATTGTAGTGATTGTGACAGAGACGATGGCGACTACAGCCGAGTGTAACAGTGTTTGTAGTCGTGCAAAGGGGGCGCAGAGTGTTGGTACATCGTCGTGCTGCAGCACGGGGCCAGAGGAATGATCTTCGACATAAAAGAGACAAAATTAGCGTACAGAAAGGGTTAGGCGGAGTAATTCCATTCGGTAGGTATGAGAGCTGAGAATAGCTGACAATAGAGAGTACCTGAGAGTAGAGATTAGAGTACAGCGAGAGAAGAGTAGACTCAGCAGAGAGTAGAGTGGAATATAGAGTAGAGTACAATAGAGTGAAATAGAGAGTAGAGAGTACGGTAGATCAGCGTAGATAGCGTTAAATGTAAACACAGTGTACAGTACAGTAGAGAGCAGACAGCAAAGAAAAGAGTTGACATGAGTAAACGGTAGAGAGCAGAGTAGAGTAGAGTTTTCTGTAGAGTAGAGAGTACTGCAGGTAATAGCATACAGAGTAGTGCAGAGTTGAGTTGGAACTCGAGAGTAGCCGTTTGGAACAAAGGAACTCCAAAAACCTCTGGAGCAGGCACATAGAGAATTGGGGCAGACAAAGAAATAGGCTGCTGATCCCCGGCCAAGTGATGATGCCGCGCATGTCGTCCACGATACACAACAAGAGTAGTGGTGTTGCAAACAGAAGATGGACGTGCCCCTCGCAACGAAGGTGGAACGATGGGAACAATGGAAACCAGAGAGTTTGTCCACAAGTGAGACCGTGGAGGAGATGGGGCTGGCGAGGAGGAATGCAGCCGTCTGCAGCCAAGCACAAAAAGAGATGAAAGGGGGGTGGATAGGGGCCATAGGGCAATATTTCGAAACGAAGGACGTGAGTGTCGGAGAGAGGGAGAAGAGGACAACAAATATGACAATATATATCGTCAAACAGAACTGCCCAGTAAACCATTGGCAGAGAGAGACAAGAGGAGAACAAACGAGGGGTTGTGACAAACTGTTTCGTCGGAGTTTCACCGGCTCATCGGGAGGCTGAACCCCCAATAGTCTACAGAATCCCCTAACTGATTACACTGTAAGTGATTATCCACTTTAACCCGGGCTGTGGTTACGCATCAACGACTGCCCAACAACTGATACCCTGAGGTGGGCACCAACCACTTACAATGTAATCAGTTAGGGATTTTGCAGACTGTTGAGGTTTCAGCCTCCTGACGAGTCCGTGAAACTCCGATGAAACAGTTTGTCACAGCCCCTCGTTTGTTGTCCTCTTCTCCCTCTCTGCCGACGGTTTACCGGGCAATTCTGTTTGACGATACATATGCCTGGTAAACCGTAGGCAGAGAGGTACAAAGGCACCGGTGTCGAATGTGCATTGTGGTACAAGGGCGCAGGTTCGAATCTTCGGACCTGTGCCGTGCACATTCGGCCGGAGGGCGTCGAGTCGTCGACCGACGCAGGCTTCTGTGTACACCGGGCAACGCAAGAGGTCCGATACTCGAAATCCAGCTGCACGCAGCGGTTTCAAGATACGGCTCAGAACTGTGGGAACAAGCTATTGTGGCTGCCACATTGGAGGCTGCCCGCCCGCCACACGGCACTGCATCATGTGGGTTGTGGAGAGCATCACTTGCGCCCCCTCCTGGGTTGTACGGGGTCATGGGGGGACGGGGCAAGGGAAGGGGTGGGCTCAGTGCGAAAGAGTCAGGGGAGCGGACGCCAGGGTTCACCGTCCACCTAGGAGGCCTACGAGAGTCTCCTTCGGCATCAGGTGACAGGGAGCGGCGACGCCTCCCGGTGGGGCGCTTTGCGGGCCTCCAGAACCTGAGTTTGAGTACGGTGCATCCCGTTGCTGGCGACCAGGTAGCACTGATCACGGTTGATACCTCCCTGTGGGTGGTCGAGGCTGTGGGCTCTGTGCTTGAGTGTCCTCCGCGTGTGGGTGGGTCCACTGCGCCGGCGGGAGGCTGAACTCGATGCGTCCAGCATCCTAGCGGACATCCTCTCCTCGCACCGTTCACGACACCCCTCACAACCTTTTTTTCTTTTAGAGGGTATGGAGAGAGATGACATTGGTTCCAACTTGTGTACTTCTTCTTCTTCTTCTTCTTCTTCTTCTTCTTCTTCTCTCCTATACTCATTCTTCTTCTATTTGAGTCGAGATGAATGTCATTGTCTCACATTTGAGTTGTGCAACATGAAACAGTCAGGATCATAGCATCTTCCTCCTCTTCTTATTCTTCATCCTCCCTTCCTCCATCTCCCACCTTATACTTTGTCTGTATATGATTTCAGCGCGGAGGTCCTTCTATGTTTGGACATCTCCCCTGCTGGTGTGAGGTTGGATCTGAGTTGCATTGTCATTTTGCTGCATGGTCAGGTGATATCCTATCTGATTTGAGTCTTCTGCCATGTCATATTATCACCTCTTCCTCATGTTGGTGACCTTTAGACTTTGCATTGCCCCGGATGATCACTGGGCATGCATCACTCTCATGCAGCTATGGCTGGGACCTTTTCTTACACTCGTGCAAAATGCTTTCCTGTTCATACAACCTCAAATGAGCTAAAAGTCCCAAGCAAGGTCCCGTTGCTAGCGAGAATAATGTGAGGATACGAGATGGTCGTAAAAGGGATTAAGTGAGCATGAGGGAAGACCTGGAAGAGGAGAAAAAGTGCCTGCCCCCAGTAAGAAGGGAACAGCAAATTGCACAGCAAAATGCAAAATGCCCAGGGGCATGGGTCACAGACTGAAGGTTGTAGAAATAAGTTTGAGAGAGAAGGTCGAGGAGAAGAATGAGATAGAGGTAGTGAAGGACACAAGACCAAAGATCCAAGCCGTGAAGACGAAGTACGCACAAAGAAATCCGGCACTGCCGCACTGTAATAAAAAGAGTGACCTGTATGGTACTACACACATGTAACTGCTGACAATAGGATAATAGTTTGAAGATTGAACTTCAAATCCCGCTGGAATCAGCTGGATACGATGATGGTCGAGCCATTCTCCTTCGAAAGGAAAAAAAAATAAAATTAGGAATGAAACAGGTAAGGTGAGGTGAGGAAAGGATGCTTACCACTTTTATGGCTTGGTAAAGGCCGCTAAGAACAGCTTGCAAGAATGTCGTGACTTGCTGAAGAGCGATGTTTGGGATCATATCACCGCGAAGGGGCTTCCGAGTGATGGGGCACACAGGATCATGGGGGCTTTTGTCCCACCAATTATGGAGGCACTGCCTGCAGAATGAATACCCTGAGGAGATGATGACAGGATCGATGTACACATTGTTGCAGATGCTACACCTATACTCGTTAGGTGCTTGGAATGAGCAAGTGGGTGAGCTGATCTGGAATGCATCCGGAGACCTTGCCTCCTTATTTCCAACCGGAGACAGTATTTTCATCATGTTCGATTTTGAATCAAGGGACTTCCATTTCGGGAAACTGTGCATCTGCTGCTTGGGTGGCTGACATGCCGAGCTGAAGTAATAGCTGTGGACGATCAGAAAGCTGAACAGCTGGTGTTCCACCGACATTCTCTCGTTTCCCAATTCACTCAGCTTTGCCTCTTCTGCAGCGTATGACTCCTTCATCCTCTGTCTCGCACACAAAAACACAATGAAACATAGTTAAGTCGCTCGCCTTGAAATTCAGTAGTTCCTGATCATGCAGGATTCTTTTCGCTGAAGCCGGGTAATGGCCCCGGTATTTTACGTTGTTCTAAACATGTTTTGATATGGGGAGCTGGGCCTGGTTCCCAGCGCGGGCTGCTCCCCACGAATAGAATAGATTGGAGCAATGTTCCTGGTAAAAGAAAAAGACAGAAAAAAACAAAAACGTAGTCATCACGACTCATCAGTGGTTTGGAGTCCACCAATCATTGCAAATTTCTCTTTGAGAGAGTGCAATATGCACACTCCTGAGCAGAGCATAACCTCTGTCACGCAGACAAAAACACAATGACAAAGAGTTGAATAGCCAGGGACATCTATGGCCGAATTGAGACGGATCTACAGGCAAGATACATACACACCAGTACCGCGGGCACATACATATGTTCTCCTTGACCTCCTCGACCTGTTTTTGAGCAGTGGTAGGGCAGTTTGCAGACTTTGCTGCACTTCCTTACTTGTTGAGAGTCCTGACTCTTGAGACTTACAGCAAACCCTTTGTCCTTCGTTTTTTTTTTTTTCCTTTTTTTTAAAAGGTTTTGATCCTGCCCAATTCTTGATGCAAAACACAATGTTGAGTGAATGGCATTCATCACAATTTCAAGAAGAAGTGCAATAACTCAAAGAAAGAGTAGTAGTAGTCGTAGAAGAAGAAGAAAAGAAGAAGAAAAGAAGAAGAAGAAGAAGAAGAAGAATTAGCACTTCCCCCCCCCCCCTTTTTCCTTTTTTTCTTAAAGGTTATGATCATGCCCAATTCTTGTTGCAAAACACAACTTTGAGTGAATGCCATTCATCACAATGTCAATAAGAAGTGGGAATTAAACAAGCAAAAAGGAAAAGGAAAAGGAAAAGGAAAAGGGGAACGGGAATCATTCAACGCATCCATTACCTGCATTTCCTGTGCCATGTCACTCTCTGAAATGCCCAGTTGTTTTCGCAGCCAGGGGAAGATGCATTCCATTTTCCCATCTTGGAGATGCTTGATGAACTGCATAAGCATTTATAAAAAAAGAAAAGGGAACAACAAAACGTTTGATGAGCCGTTGACCGTAATTTACACCATTTGAATCGGAATCAGATTTCAAGATTTGTTAGCACTGATTTGCTCGAGGGTTTGCAGTGCTATGCACCTTTTTGCCTGTCAGCAAGGAACCGGAGCTGAAAAGGAGAGCAGCGTACTCACCCTGACACTTTCTTGCATGAACCTGACTTCGATTACAGTCAGATTCCGCTCATTAAATCCTTGTGTGAGCATGATCTTAGACAGAAGTGATGAAACTCATTCCCCTGAGATCGTTGGTTTTCGAGTGTGCTTGCTCAGTCTTCTTGCCTCACAGAGGCATCCCATGAGCAGCAGCAGCAGGAGCACGAGGAGGAAGAGGAGAGGAGGCAGAGGAGGAGGAGGAGGGATCAGGACTTTTTACGCTGCTGATGAGGAGCCAACCTTCTTTGTTACTGATCCATCCAACATAGAGTAGTAGTTGCCGCAGCAGTCAAGGAGAAGTTCATCTGGCACCAATGCCAATGAACACTGCAAACCAGACTGGAAAACCCTTTACCAGGTTAAGGAGGAGGAGGAGGAGGAGGAGTATATCATGTACCAGTGACGCAGAATGATAATGAAGGCAAATCCCCTAGGCAGCCAACCAACAGTAGGTCGGCAAGGAATGGTGTCCATTACTTCCACATCCAAGCCAGCTTCAGCGATCAGTGCCCAGGAAGGAGAGTTCAGGATGAGCACGTTACAGACGGTCAACTGAGCTGAAGGGAGAAATCATAGTGTCCCTGTAGTGTCCCTGGATTGAGACAAACTCGCCCAAAACGCTTCACCACGTCAAAACAGGAACGATCCCCTTACTATTTTAGTAGTTTGACCTTTCTCATCAACCACGTTTTTCTTCACAGAGGAGGACAGAAGGTAATGCACAGAGGCTTGTGCTTGTGACATGGACACTTCATGCGGTCTGGGAGAAGTAATTCCTCGGATGAGCTGTTGCTCTTCACTGAAATCTGACGTTTTTTTCTCAGCTCCCGGCACCTGCGCCAATTCAATCACCTGTATATAAATTAATCTAATCTGTGCTGACTATCCCAATAATGGTACCTGCAACCAGTACGGTAAATAAACCAGTATTGACTGCAATCATCAGTGCAATGTACCATGGTCAAGCTGTAACATCACCAGTTTTACCGGCCCAACTATTGAGGTTACTGCTAAGGAAAAAAAGATTCAAAACTTGAAAGAGAGAGAGAAATCACTGTTGGATCTTTCGGTGGACATAAGTTGCGCTCAATGTTTCTTAACAGATAGCGCAGTCTGTCGTTCGGCTCTTGCAATACTTGGATCAGTAGTCCTTCTGCACAACTTTTTTGCTGCCTTCTTATCGATCTCGTGCCCGCATTCCCCTCATATTACCACGTGCTATGATCCTAGCCAGCTCACAATGCAAAACTTTAACATGAGACAGTGACATCCATTGCAACTCGAAATAGAAGAAGAATGAGACAAGGGAGGGAAGAAGAGGTATTGAGGAAAGAAGAAGAAGAAGAAGAAGAAGAAGAAGAAGAAGAAGAAGAAGAGAAAGAAGAAGAAGAAGAAGACGAAGAGGTATTGAGGAAAGAAGAAGAAGAAGAAGAAGAAGAAGAAGAAGAAGAAGAAGAAGAAGAAGAAAAAGAAGAAGAAGAAGAAGAAGACGAAGAGGTATTGAGGAAAGAAGAAGAAGAAGAAGAAGAAGAAGAAGAAGAAGAAGAAGAAGAAGAAGAAGAAGAAGAAATACTGCGCAAAGTTCGCCGCAAACATGAACAGGACAAAAACCAGTTCCACTTGCCGGTGGAATAGGAACAGGAGATGTGAACTGCTACCGCTATCACTGCGTAGGTTCATGCTTTCCAAGCATGAACATGGCACCAGTGAGGCCTCACCCTTAGTAAAAGTCTAAAGCTATTTCTCTCGATCCAGAATCCTGCTGATGGGAAAATGCAACCCTTCCAAAGGGTCGAGAGGGGGGTCGGGTAGGGGGGGGACAGGGGGAGGGGAGGGAAGGGGGAAAAGAATTAGCAACCTCCTTGCCGACAAGCTGGGATATTGGAGCACATGCATGGTACAGGGCAGCATAACTGACGATGACTCACCTGTCTTAAGCATTCTTCATAAAGCTCTTTGTCTTTCCTCTCTGAGGCATCCAAGTATAACTGCGCCTCTTCCATGCTTACTTGGACACCAGTCAATGCCCTGCAATCCATCCACTGGTAAATGAAACCACAAAGCGTCAGCAAATACCCAAATTAGCAGCCCACCGACAGGCCACTGACTACCGTGCTCACCCGAATACAACGTACGGTCATTACAGCAGTATAGGGCGCAACTCTGAGCGTAGATACGGCAATAATGACCGTACGGTGTACGTTGCTTGTGGGTGAAGATGACAAAAATAGATTGGAAAGGGACATCTCCACCAACCAGACATTGATGATTAACAATGTGCAAGGAAAGAATACGAATGATGAATCCCTTGATAACCTTTTTTATTGAAAGAAGAAAAGGCGGAACAGTCCGAACAGCTAAACTTATCGTATCCAACAGGATTTGAAATCTGTACCATTCAGCGACTATGGCCAAATGAATCCATCCATGGACAAACTGGCAGCGGAGGAGTTTCCCTTATAAAAAAAAAAAAAGACGGAGAAGAAGAAGAAGAAGAAGAAGAAGAAGAAGAAGAAAGAAGAAGAAGAAGAAGAGCAGGAGGAGGAGGAGGAGGAGGAGTTGCCCTTCTTAATCTTCCGTATCTGTAGGAGACCTGAGGATGGCAAAATCTAGTTCATGCTCAAGATCACCTCCAAAACACCTTTGGCAGGGAGAAACGCAATAGATCTCTTCTCGAACTATAAATCCCATCAGCTTCCCATACACAAACCTTTGCTTTTAATTTACCATGAATGGGGGCCGCTCCCTCATTCCAGATTAGTCACTAGTGCAAATTTTGCGAGCTAGCCAGTCTACTGTTTTTAGAATTTGATTTTACTTTTTTTTTGAAAGACATTTGCTTAAGCAACAACCCCAAAATCTTACCTATTTTATCAATTTTTATGTAAATAAATAAATAAAAAATCTTACCTATGAGGCTATTTCTGAAGTTTGAGAATAAGTCGAGGGTGTTTCACCCCCGACGCCTCTAATCATTCCCTTTTTTTTTTTTCCTTTTTTTTTTTTAAACAGAACCTTACGGTTCTGGCTCCTTTTCCATTCTGGGGAGCATCAGTCCGGTTCATATTCCACCGGCAAGTCAGAAATGATTACAAAAGGTACTCACACACGCTCCTCCCCTTTTTTTAATACTGACCTGTCTTATGTTTTCATGAATTTTTTTTTAAGGACAAAAAAAAAAAAGAATATGATCACGGATTCACAGTCTCAAGTTTGTGACCACATCGTTCATGTTAAATGCGTGCTGGTTAGAATCTGTGCTTCTTCCTTGCAGAGCAACATTACCTCTTCTTTGTTTATCTGTTTATTTTGCTTACCGGTTGATTGACTGGGCATTTATAAGGAAACCATATTGCTTTCTTGTGAGTAAAAGACCATGGACATGGCTGCCGTCTTCTTCCCCCGAATAGAACGCCCGCCGTACGATCAATATAGCTGAATTAGTTCGCAATATTTTTTTTTTCGAAAATAATTAATGATTCTTATTGATGCAAATTCAATCATCTAGAATGGCATACTGCGCAGCCACATGGGCCTGCAAGGCCCGACCAGAAGGAAAATCAGGGCCTTCCAGGCCCTGTGTCGTTTCAGCCTGAAAGCCTGAAAATGAGGGCCTACAGGCCCTGTGTCGTTTCAGCCTGAAAGCCTGAAAATGAGGGCGTACAGGCCCTGTGTCATTTCAGCCTGAAAGCCTGAAAACGAGGGCCATTTGCAGGCCCTCATAAAGTCGACCTACCCTGAAACTCAGGCGCCAGACCAGGGTTTAGCGCCGGCCATTTTAGGGCCTGTTTCAAGACAACCTTTGTTTGAACTTCAACGCCAGGGTCTGGCACGTTTCGGCATTGGCAAGAGCAGCCTCCCAGACCGGCCAACACCCTATAGAACTGGCCCGCTCTGCAAGGTGCAGGGAGTTCATAGGGACTTCCCAGGCAGTTCACGGGCACTTCACGTGCAGGAGGCAGGAGGCAGTCTTCAGGATTTCGGCAGCAGCACTCTGGAGGAGCGCTGCAGTAGTAGTAGCGTTAGGAGTAGTCTTCAGCGCTGGTCCCTATGAGGAGTTAGAGTAGCGTTGGAGAGAGAGAGAGAGAGAGGGTGGAGGCCAGGGAAACTTACCTGTGGCGCCATAGCTCCAGCTTCGTCTTCGATGTACCTGCAACAAGGCGCCACCTTCACAGGTTAGTACCGGACACACACACACACACAGAGAGAGAGAGAGAGAGAGAGAGAGAGAGAGAGAGA